TCACCTTCAACTTTGGGGCCTTTCAGATTGAAATCCACATCAGGCATGGAAATTTTAGGCCCGGATATACCTGACATCTTGAATTGTGGTCCTTTGATCTTTCCACTCGGACCCTCAACATTGATGTCAGCTCCTTTAATATCAATGTTGGGAGCTTTGATTTCAATATCACCTTTAGGAACGCTGACATCAACATCTGGACCTTCAACTTTTGGACCTTTCACACCAAAGGATGACATTTCAACTTTGGACATTTTAACTCCTCCTTTATGGCCCTCAATATTAACATATCTTCCTTCAATGTCCACTTTTGGAGCTTGTAGGTCTCCCTCCATCTTTGGAGCTGATACAGTAACATCTCCCTTGAGTTTCGGCCCTTTTACAGTGTTGCTGAACTCCTCCAATTTGGGTCCCCGTGATGATGATACATCGACTTCAGGTGCTTTAACATTAATTTCAGTCTTTGAAAGGTTAATATTCACATCCTGACCTTCAGGCTTTGGACCTTTTATGCAAAGAGATGGAATTTTAATATTGGACATAATAAGTCCACTGGTTTGGCCTTCACTGTCAATTTCTTTTCCTTCAATCTTCATTTTTGGAGCTTTTATATCCCTCTCAAGCTTTGGTACATCAACATTTCCCTTCATTTTGGGAGCTTTCACACTCATGTCCAAATCTTTCAGTTTAGTTCCCGACAATGATGGTAGTTCTATTTTTGATCCTTTGAGATTCACATCAAGGTCTTCTGTGTCCACTTGTGGTCCTGTAATATCAAAATCAGGTGCTTTAACATCAATACCAGTCCTGGGAAGGTTTATCTCTAGACCTTTGACATCAATCTTATGCGTTTTTATCTCCCCTGTTATCCCTGCTTTATTTTCAACTTTAGGTATTTTGGTGTCAGTTTTGGATTTGGAAAGTTTTAGATCAACATCTAGACGCTCTGCTTTTGGAACTCCAAATTCTGCAGCAGGCACTGTGACATTTACTTGTGTTCTTTTAATATCAACACTGGGTCCTTTAATCTTTACATCCTTACTGTCAATAGAAGGTTTTATTGCTTTAATGTCAGCTTCAGGAATTTGTACATGAGCGTTTGTTCCCGCTTTCCTCTCAGTGTCTGTATTTGAACCTTTAATGTCAAATTTCAGTCCTGCTGTATTTCTCTCACCAGTTAAATCACCTTTTCCCTCAACCTTGTTCAGCCCAGATATGGATGGAACATTAACATCCATTTTGTATTTGCTATCAGTTGTTGGGAGTTTGATTTGAATATTAGAGTTGATTTCAGCACTTCCGATGTCACTTTCAGACTCTGAATGTCTTACACTCAAAACTGACCCTTCAGTGTTGGCTCTGGGGCCCTTGATCTGAACACCGGCTCCTTTGATGTCCAGTTCAGATTTTTTTGAAGAAAGTCCTGAGGTAACATTATCTAATGTTATTGTTGATTTTTCTATCCTGCCATCTTTCAAATTTGCATCAGTATCTGTCGATCCTCCTATTCTGATATGTGGAATGTCAGTACTACCTGATCCTTTCGTCTGCAGGGGACTGATTGTAATTCCAGATATCTTAACTTTTGTCCTCTCATCTAAATTACTGTCTGAACTTCCCATCTGTGTTTTCTCTGTGGTTGCAGTCAAAATTTTCATTCCTTTTCCTGGTAAAGACAGACTACCTGATCCTCCGTTTTCGTCAGTTGAAATTATCCCAGCACCCCCTGACCCAGCTGTAACATGGCTGCTGGCAGTGTTTTTGTTGTCTCTTAGTGTCACACTTATTTCTGAATCCTGAACACTTTCATCTCCTTGCTCTCTACTCCCTCTTGAAGTTTCAGTGCCTTCATGGCATTTACTACCTGTTACTCCAAAGCTAGGAACCTTAAATCTAAGATCACTTCTTTCTTTTTCCTCTCCTATATGCATTGTAGTTTGAACCCCACCATTGCCCCAGCGTGTCACAGTGGAAGTGATATTTGGCCCAGTGTAAGTTATGTCGCCTGACTCAAAAACACCTTCTTCTGCTCCCATTTTACCTGAAGGGCTGCCATGTGAGATTCTGATATGAGAAGATCCATCTCCAGATTCGTCCCTTAGCCCTGGGCTTGAAAGTTCAAGTTGCTCACTTATGCCACTTGGCATATCTACTGTGTAAGTAGTGATACGACGAGTGATGGTAGTAATTGTGCTGCCATCGCTGCTTGTGCTGCTGTGCCGCTCCGTGCGAACATCCACTCCCTCTGCAAGGTCTTCAGATTTCAGCCTTGGTTTTATCTTTCTTGTGTATATTCGCTTATAATCTTCATCATCTCCACTCTGTTGATTGAATGACACAAACATGCAAGTGTTACAGCACACCCTGTTTTAGTCCACTAGCTTTCCTGCAGACATACGAGTGATAATGTAGTTGGTTTTTCTTTTGTTTGTTTGGGGGGCTTTCCCCCCTTTTTTGTTTTTTAAAAAGAACTTACAAGAATGATATCTGGACTGGAATCTCCAAAGCGGGTCTTTCCTTCCCATGTAAGGGTGCTGACTGGTGAACGACATGGTGTGCTCAGCGGTGAGTAGTAAGGGGATTTGTCTCCTTTGTTTTGTAGTTTCAGTCCAACCTTGTGTTTGTTCAGTGTCTTTAGTAGATCTGCTGTTTCTTCAGAACTCATATTTTCAAAGTAGATAGTGGCACCCACAATTTGGTCACCTATGATTTAAATGGAAGCAGCACAAAAAAACAAAAGAACAAAAGTCAGCATGCACAGCTTACTAAACATTTGGTGAAAGCTACATATTTGAACAAAAACGGAATTTGTTACCTTCATATACTTTTCCAGACCGTGCTGCTGGTGACTCTCCTTTCACCTCCTTAACAAAGAGCTGTCCCCCACTTGTCTGTTCAATGGTCATGCCAGTTTTGTCAGCACCTTCCCAATCTGGAAAGAGTACCTCCCTTGTCTCCTCTTCGTCAGCCATCTGTAAACATAGCCATAAAAATAGCAGGTTCGACAGAAAAAAATCATAGTTAGTTGGCAAAAACTCCTTACAACATAAAATATGGAATACTAGTCATAAACCTTAAATTCCTAAAATACCTTGTTTTTGTTTTCTTCAATTCAAGCCTCGTTGTAGCACAAATTCTCTTTGTTTTCCTGCAAAAACAAAAGACAGACTTTGAACAAATTCTATCCACATCCCACTTTGTAAGGAGCCTGGCTTAAAAGACCCAAAAGCGAACACTAGATGGTGTTAAAACTCCTTTAGACAACATAGCCTATCTAACTATAAGTGCCTTCCCTTTCCTCCAGGAAGCACTACGTTTTGGAAACTTGGTTGAAGCCAGAGCACTCACTGCCCTGAGGAAACAGCCAAATCCCCTGCCTACAGATCAACTCAAACATCAATAGAAACAAAAGTGAGGGTCACGGGTACTTTATTTAAAGAAAAAAACAAAAAACACACCAAGGTGGAGAAATGTATGGTAACAAATACATCACCTAAAAGAGTTACTACTCTAATACAGATGTACAACCACAAACACTAATCTAATAGGAAAACAGTTGCACCCTTGTATAGGATCCCACATTAAGCTTGTAGTTCTGTTCAATAACAAGAGCTATGAATTCCTTTTCAGCAGTTAACCATAGATTTGTTATTAATTTTTTTATGACTACAGCTGAAAGTTTTTACAAAGCTGATGACAATGATCTACCTCATTACGCTGTGGTAGCACACATTAGGTTGGGTGAGGCCATCAGAGTACATAAGGTATACATTATACCTTCAAATAATTACCAAATTTACCATATTTATATCACTTTAAATTAGGCCAACTGAAATTCATGCTTAGCTTTTCAACAACTGTCACTATCACTGTTTGCAATGTATAAAGTATATGTGGATCATCACATCAATGATAAAGTTTGTTGACAACATTACTAGACATGTGTCCACAAACATGCTGACTGGTAATACCCACTCTCCTTTTTGGAACACAGAACCTATTGTTTTGTTAGTACCAAGCTCTCCACCACCCACTCCTCGAAATATACAAAGCTGTTCCACGATGATGTGTCTCTACCAATAGAAAGGGATTTGTATGTTTTTGGTTTTTTTTAATTCGAGATAATGTAATGTGATTGGTGACAACACTATTGGAAGTACTTTTTGATTAATGATGTTGCACCACTAGCCAGTAGCAAAGCTCTAGTACCACAGTCATTTCAGTGAGACAATCACTACAAATGCCTACTGTAACCATTCAGGAGGATTTATCAAAGGTTCTATCGGCCAACAGAAAATGGCAAAAGCCTATTCATAGTTGTGATGAATGAAACAGGATATGAGTCACTTTGGTGATTAGTTTCCTATGTTTATTGTGATTAAAAACAAAGATTTAAGGAATAATAATTTGGGAAAAAAATAAGACTGATAATCTTGTCTGACCTTACAAATATATATATTTTAATGTTAATGTCAATGTACTAGAAATAATAATATTAGCAGTAAAATGAATATATTTTCTATCTAATTTTGCACCACAGTCAAGAACACAGTTACCACATAGGCCATGAATCCCTTCCTCATTCACTGATACTGCCTCTCTGTTCTGCAAGATAACAAGTTGCTGGAAACAAGAGGAACCTGAGACAAGGCTAAAGAAGCAACAGTTTTAAGAGGTTTTGTAATATGCATCACTTATTCAGCAGCCATATGCCACTCCTGCCATGCAGCTAAAATGCAGTGTTTCAAACAAATGAGATCGTTAGAAGAAAACAGTTCTGGTGTTTCCTGCAATGTCCAAATTAAGAGACGTGACCCATTAGACTGCAGATCTAGGTGGTGCATACAGTTCTGTGTAATATGAACTATTGTCTCAGTTATTTGTAGTCTGTTGATGCCAGTCCTAGGTCACATAACAAGCCCTCTGCAAATTAACACAAGTCAATAAATAGACTGGATCTGCATGGTTGGGAATACTGAAGAAAGCATGCAATGCTTTGAGGTAAAATTAAAATTCTTTCAAAAAATAGCCTTTAGCCACTGAGCATGATTATGCCAGAGAATAGGATAATGCTCATTCCAAAGGTGATTCCAGCCGCTTGCAGGTATATAAAACCTGATCTTCACTTTGTTGCTTCATCTGTCCTCCTCCCTTCTTTCTATCACATTGTGCTTTTCCGCATGGCCTTATTGTACCTTGAAACACGAATCTATCAAGACCTCAAGCTGCAACATTATATGCATCAGTTGAAATGTGTGAAAACTGAAGGGGTAAAAAAAACAGTACCAAAAAACCTAGCTTTATTTAATTATCTTGGGTAGAGCAAATTCAAATCAGGCCAACCGATGCAGCCATTTACAAAATCTTTAAAGTGTCCTTCAGATCCCACACTCACAGCATTTGGGAGAAATCAAAGGGAATTTGTCTTCCCCATGGGCTAGAACACAGCTCATTTTGCCCGACCATATCCTGTCCTAATCCAGTCAATAAAAACAGACCCAAATAACCGACAAACCTTTCACATGATCTTGTTTTTCTCTTTTGCTAGTCTTATTGGTATTGTACAGATTACTGCTAGATGAGATAATTGTTCAGAAAAAATGTTCACAGGGGAAAGCATAAGAAACATTATTGGGTTTACAAAAACAGAGTGAGAAGAGTGAGAAGTTAAGAATGCATCCTCACTCATACGCATAATCGTGGGACACAACTATCCCTTTATCCCTCAAAGGTTTATTTTCAAGCATAATCATATAGTTTTGATAAATATTTTGATTTTGTCCTAGCACACAGGCTTACCATGTTTGAACTATTTGGGCCATTGTGTCCTGGACGTTCTGACATATTTCTGGCAGCAAGCTGTGGGGGGAAGCTGAGGCACGCAACAGTAATCAAGGGGGAATTTGAAACACACAGAAAGAGATATAAGGAAACGAGGAAGTTAAAAAAAAATTAAATTGAGGCAATTGAAAAGGGGGGGGGGGGGGATTGTTGTCAAGCTATGTTATAGAACATTAAAGAAAGGCATCCAAGCAGAACTGAAAAAGTGGGGATTCTCCTTAGAAGCTTACAAGTTCAGAGATATGCATAAGAGAATATTTGCAAAAAGTCCCTGCACTTTTTACTGTCATTACTCAACTTAATCACAATTATTAATTTCTTTGCTTCTTTTAAGATAAACTTAGAAAATAGTGTAATTAAGTATAAACTAAATTAGGAAAATTAACAATTAACCCAAAAAGACCTTATGATTATAAACATATGCCAAATGAATGAGCCCTTGTTCTTGAAATCATAGCAAATAGTCTGGGACTCCAGGAGTACATGACAGTCATTCAGCTCTCTATTCTTTCTCTTTCATTTCTATAACATGCCTGAGTACCACTGATCCAATGCCAAATACGAAGGTAGACCAACGGGCTTGTCTGTCTGTCATGTTTTATTATGGCCTGGTATGTCTGTCCAGAAGGGGAGATATGGGGGCAGCCAGCCAGACAAACAAAAGCTTCTGTTACCTCGAATGCTGGATATGGATCATTTATACAGTATCATTGGCCTACAGACTTAACACTAATCAGTCAAAGTACTGCTAGTTTTTCCCTACACACAAAAGAAGTAAATTATCTTTGGCGGGCTCTTGACATGGTCGTTTCTCAAGAAGGGAAAAGGGACTTGAGTGAAGCAGGTGGTCACTTTGGGAGGAGGGACGGGATACCAAAAGGAGACACATGGAGCAGAAGCACCCATGTATCAGGTTTCCACAAGGCAGGCCTTTCACAGCTGAATGACGGCAGCATGACCTTCCAGTTACGTTGGAGGCTTTGCAGCAAACATTCCAAAAGTGGTTTGCAGTCTGACCATAAAATAAATGCTGCTCTGTGGTGACACTGACTAGTTAGTGTTTGAGCTAAGTGATGGTAGTAAGAAAATTGATTTTCTTTTTCTGTAGTCTATCATATATTTTCTTTGTATCCTAAGGGCACTCACTTACCTTGGATTGCTCAAGCAAAGCCAAGGAGCTTCAGTTTATTGCTTCTGTTCTTGTATTCTTGACTTCTGTTGAGAAAAAAAACACAATTAGTATGATTTCTACACAGATTAAGTATTGCTAAGACAGCAAAGAAACCTTTGCTGCTCTCTTTTGCAATAACATTCCATGTTGCTATATAAAGTTGAGTTTCAGTCACATGCTTGACAGATGACAAAAAGCTATGCATGTCTTTTCCACATAGAAATCCCTGCTATGTTACGAGGTGCATCTCCATATGAATGATAAAGTCAAACACTGTGGTAGGATTCAGTATTAAGTGATGAAATTTAGCTGTTCTATAGAATGTTAGCCTACACATTAAGAGATGGGAAAGGCAGAACTGAAAAAGTGGGGATTCACTTTAGAAGCTTAGAAGCTTACCATACTTATGCATAAGAAAATATTTACAAAAAAGCCCCTGCACTTTTTACTTTCATGACTAGACTTAATCACAGGTATTCATTCCTTTACTTCTTTTTAGATACGTTTATAAAGTTGTCTAATGTAGTAGACTACTGATGCTGATCAATCATCACCTTAAGAGGCTTTAATAATTAACCAACAAGTAGCTGGAAGCAGTGTTGACACTGGTAAGGAAATATGTCTTTTTAAATAAATTTAACCACTTGTTTGTCTCCAAACTAGCCAAACTACAACAAGTAGGTTTGCTAGAAATTGAAGATTAAAAATGAAGCAAATTTGGCTATAGAGGAATTCAGAGAGGAAGTATACTATTAAAAATGCTAATGCATTGATCTGCTTTAGTTTCACTGCTTCATGGAGGACTGTAAAAATATCAAACCACAACAGAAAGGCAGAAATGCAAAGCAATAATAGCAAATATAGCAGCAAAGTTTTGTTGCCTAAATTGAATCTATCATTTAAATTCTGAGCATCATTCTTCACACTAAGTCAGTCTTGTGTTTGTGAAAATCAAGGCAAAGCTGAAAATGTGAGACACATGCTGTAACTAGCCCAACATCTTACAGGGCTTATGCCAATTATTGTGTTATTGTGAAACAAAGCCCTCTTTTTGTCAGTCTCCGTACAAACAGAACCAGACTTGATGTGCACAGAGACATGCAGCACCAGTGGGAACATGCCCTTCAGGAAAATTCTTCAACCCCATCATTAACTTCCCCCTTCCCAACATTTTATGTTCAATAACCTAAATTGCTCATTACTGTATTTGTGAGACGGAACAGTCCGATTTTAATACCTGTGCAATGTAACAAAGCCCCTAACAGTGATGCAAAGTTTAAAAAACGTAGTAAAGTCTGGCCTGTTTTCTGTTGCACCAATAGAATACATAGCTGAGATAAAATACCAGCCAGTAATGGGTTCACATTACCTGTGTGAAGTGAGACTTGCACCACAGCAGCTGTGTGTACTCATGCCCCTGTTACTGATTCAGACTGTTATGTCACAGAATACAACGAGGTAGACTAAAGAAAATGTGACACTGTGTTTGCCTTAGTGATAAAGTTCTTATATGTGTAAGCTTTTAGGTGTTATGCTACAACGTCATGATAGAAAATGACGAAATAGGCATATCGGATTTAACAAAATCAAAATATATGAGACAGTTTGCCCCACCCTTCTTTACTCAGTGTCTTGGTAAGACCACACACACATAGCACATCTGCAGGTATTTCTGGAAGATAAAATGTGGTCAACAAACAGTGAAGGAAGCAAATAAAAACACAGATCGTGTCGCTTTGCCTCTCGGCTTTACTTGCAGAGGGAGTAGCACAGTGCACAGCCCCACCCAGGCCTCCAGTCACACACATTCCTTGATAGAGCCCTCAGGCCAGCTGGAAGAAAGCCCAACCTCTCCTACAGTGACTAACTCCAAAGAAATGTCCTCATTCTGACACTAACTCTAGCTTTATTTTGTGCCGCCCACCCACCTGCAATGAGTCCACCACACACCCCCAACCTCCAGGTTCCACTCAAACAAGCAAAAATGCAACGTTAAGTCAGCAGTGCATCTGTGATGGCACCCCAAGACGCGTGTCACATGTGCATTGAGAGGTTACATTTGTGTCTTTTGGGTTAACATGTGCTTCACTGACGCAGTAAACAGCAGGCAGCTCATCACCCCATCACTTCAAAAAGAGACATACCTCCAAACCTGGACTGTTAACTTTCATACTCTGTGCTTAAGTAGGTCAATACATTCTGGAAACTGATCAAAGCAGCTTTAGTCCATCTACCAATTTGATTGCCAAATCCAATCAATTTAGTAATGAGAAAAGAGAAGCAATGTGACAATGATTACGGCTCAATTTCAGAGTGTATCACACAGAGTGGAGCTCTGATAAAATTTGATTATGAGCAGATAAAAAGATCTCAGTACAGCAAGGCAGAGACGGAGAGAAGACCAGTGACCTAATCAGTCTTGTTGTCAAAACAAAACAGACTCTCTTTCCCCCCCTGCTGCATTGTATTTAGACACAGCAAAAGCGAAAAAATACCAAAGAAGACGCAGCAGTATCTGGCCTTCAATGTTCCTTCACAAAAGCAGATAGGACGTGCACGTGTGACGCGTATAAAAGGAACGAGAGTCAAAATAATTGGTTGTTTTCTGCACTCCATAGTCCACATAGCCCTGAACCAAACCACAAGTCCAACATAAGACTAAAGCCTGCCCACTGACGCTAACTTAGCCTGCTTCTGATTAAACCATTGTGACTTTGGCAGGAGTCATGCACCAAATGGAAAAATTGAAGAAACTCTTAAAATCCTCCTCTCTTGCGCTTAAAAAATCAGAAACGAGGGGTTGCTTTTGAAGCATACTTCAGCTTTGCCTTGATTTTCACATACGTTTTAAGCTCTGCACAGCTCTGTCATAACTGCTTGTTCTCTATTACACACCAATACATTTAAGATTTCCTCTCTCGAGGGTTCTTACAGGTTTTTTAGAGATTCTGTTCCTTTGCATTCCTATTATTACACCAAGAACTGCCTTTGAGATTGTATATGTAACACTGTGCTATAGACAAAAAACTTGATTTGATTTGAAGAAAAAAAAAAAAGCTTATTCGAACTATTTTTTAAGATCTGTTCTGCTATTAAATGAGAAGTGATCCTGGGCTGATGCCCAACAATAGTTTCGGTGGCATGACTATCAAGCAGCTAGGATGTAAATTTTGAACTGGCATAACAAGTTAGACCAAAGAGACTGATCTGCCAAGTTTGAACAGATCAGCCATATAAAAAGAACATCACAAGAGGCTTACTGACACATTAAACAGGTCACGCCAAAAAATTGCCACGCTTAGTTTAACATGGCAATATATTCAGCTGCTGCTTGAATGAGAACAAATACAAGTCCATTCACGGAACAGGGGACAAGGTTATGAGTAGGAGTTAGGTGGCAACCATAGCAGCAGAATGTATATATAGATGTGAGACTTCCTTTGCTGTAAGAACCTGAAGCATAAACAGAGCATTGGGATTGTACTTTCAATTCGCACTTCTATTTAGACCACAGGAGAGTAGCGCAATTGTTTAGAGCAAGAGAGACTGTTGGATGGTGAGTTCCATCCTCGAATATCTTGTGCCAGATAAAGAAAAACTATGTTGAATGTATTTCTCAGTTTACATTCCAAGCATGGTTGCCCTGACATTTAGGGCATGTATCTCCAAGTAGTGCTTAGTAACAGATGGCTTTTGATATTTTTATATAGGAGATGTTTGGAGGAGTACTGGTGCGAGTTCTTGCTTTATCAGACAGAAATGATTCACGCCCTTTTTGAGCTCCATACTTGGAAAGGTCCCACATTGCTAAAATCTACAGTGAACGAGTCTGAATTGCATGCAGGTGCGTGGTTGCCACAGAATTATTTGTGACTTGTTGTGACTATTTCATCGCAAATTTAAAATAACTGTTTCTCAAAAACAAGGCATGCTAATGATAGGCGTTCCACAGAGAATACTGAGTACACACTGAAACATTCCAGCAGTGGGTGAGTGAGAAGGGCGTGGCTGCTGGGTGGATTGCCTAGAAAGACGTTCTGAAATTGCACACTATAGTTAAATTTTTATTTGCAACTTTAGGGAAGCAAAATGTTGCTCATTGAAAATTTTCTCACTCTATACATTTTGCATTGTTTTATCCAACCAATATCCAAGGTGTGCGTCTGAGAGCCCAGCTTGGTTTCTTAAGCCAAGTGTGAAAAGGATACGCTATAGTTTGTTTGAAACCACCACGCTTTCTTTCAGCTTACTGAACACCCCCCACCCCACCCCTTCAACCACCCGCTCAACAAACCCATGAGGAAATAGCAGAGGAAGCTTGCCAGAGACCAGTTTCCTTGCATTTTATACTGGCACATATGAGTAACACCATTCCTCTCGCCTGTGCTGTCAGTCAACACTGCGAGAATACGCAGTTGCGCCTGCAGAGAACTGCGATAAGCATCTCAACACCGTCAAGGCTCCAAACTGTCATGAGGCATGCTCTTCTTCCAGTTCTTCCTACTAACGATGCTGATTGTCACATGGGTGAGAAGAGCCGCAACATCGGAGTGAAAGAAAAAGAAAAATTTGATCAATGAAGCTTTAAAATTTCATGGTGTGCTTTTTGGAATTCCAAGTGACCTACATTGCTAGGTGACAAAATAATATACCCTCTGTACTGCTGCACTGGTAGACAGAGCAAGTATTTAGACAAACAGTATCCACCCCAGGCCAAGATGAGGCCCTGTTAACTGACGAGCATTTCAGCTTTGGGGCGGTTAGGAGCAGCTCAGAATGTTTGAGCAGCTGAAATATAAATCATGCTTCAAATTTATTATGTTTAAGGTCCACACCCTCGCTTGAAGCAAAACTCTACACCTGAAATATCATGTTTAGTTTGGTTATTCACACCATATTATCACCAAGTAAAGCTAAAAAGGCTAAACATAATGTCGATTAAATGACAATCACTACTCCAAAACCTTTCAGGGCTATGTTGCCGTTTGGCCCTTAAAGCAGCCTGTGTTATAATCAATCACCTTGACTAGAGCAATTTGAGAAATGCCACACATGTACAGCTGTGGGTCACCCAGTGTGGGTTAAGTGCACATTGTAGAAAAGACTACGCAGAGCAAGGCAAAAATCAGCTCTCGCTAACACTCCTCTAAAGTGCCTTTTGGGTGTGGCAGGAGGGAGCTGCAGAGGACACGCAACAGCACAATGAAATTTGACTTCCAAGTGAGATTAAACAAAGGATCTTTCTGAACTCCTGTTTCTCAACTTATACACCCACTTCACATAAAATATAGGCAGCACTAAATGTAGTGATTCTACTTTAAACCACAGCTGAAATGATGCCATTTTAGGCTTTAAATATATTATGGGCAAGAAAATAATCCCCTGACTTTAGGGTTTCAGAAATGCCTCTTTTTCTTTTCCCCAAACGTGCAAAGTCTCAGCTTTCCCCCCTGCTCTGCCTCAAACCTGGTTTCAATTAGCTTGTCTTTCCAAACCACTACATTCCATTACTCCCCTCCTCAACCCCCTGCCCCGCCCATCCCCCCTCACCAACTCACTCCATGACTCTCTTTCCCTGTCTTCCTCCCTTCTTCTCCCCCTGCACGCCCTGGCCAGGAGCCCAGGTTGAGAGACCCATGGTAAAATAGACAAAGACAAATCTTTCTCTGTTCAAGACCTTAAAAAGTAAGTCATGAAATGCATATATGCCTCAGAGCCAAGCAGCAGTGAAAGTTTTCAACTTCATGTTACGCAACACGAACCAAAAAGGTTTTGTTCAAAAGCTGATACATATTTAGCCAATAAACAGAAGCAGTTTGCATTTAAAAATATAATACTTTTTTTGTATCTCTCTCTCTATATATATATGTATATATATATATATATATATAGAGAGAGAGAGAGAGAGAGAGAGACAACCAACCAACAACACAGTGAACCCAGTGAAAAGACATAGAAAAAGCCATAATCATAACTTTTCTGTCTTCGCCAGCACACCCTTAGTATCCCACAAAGGACATTTAAATGTAATTTGCTGAGACCCACTGCAAAAAACTGTCTGCAGCGTGGATGGTTTTCCTTTTTTTCACTGGCACTAAAGGGTGTGCCACTGTGAGGAGACAGCAAACAAAAAGGGAGGGAGAGAAAAAAAGAAGGGGGAGGAGAGAGGGGGGATCCACACCCAAAGTTGTTGCTGTACACTCTCATAGGGAAGTAGTAGTAACTTTTTAAACTTCCATTTCTTGGCAAACGACATTGGATTAGATAAGAGAGACATCTGAGCGATAACATCAACACTGTCAACAATCATTTCGGCACCTCTTTAATTTAACTTTAAAGTGTGGGTTATTGAGGTCCTGTACAAAAGAAAAAGTCCCACTCACTATGCAAAGTACATCTACACATCCACACTGCACAAAGGTGAAATAACTACACAAATGTAGCTATTCTTATTTGTTATCTCTAAGAAGGATCAAAATAATCTAAAGGCAATAAAGTATATAACCATGAATGACTTATATGCATCTAGTCTGCATTCATGTGGTGGGTGTGTACCCACACCCTCATCTCCTGTCCTGCTCTATTTTAATTAAATATTTATCATGTATGAATGTTTTTAACAAAGTTACTGCCACTCTACATATTTACAGTGAAAACAAATAACAATGTTTAGCCAAGATGCTCCTATGCAAAAACATTCCCTTAGGGGAAAATAAAAAGTCCTTGAAAAACTCTGGAAACAAGTTTTCTAGTCATATAAAACAACTCATAATAATCTTACAGTGGTAAACACGCTCACTGCAAGTGCCTGGTGCTATGAACAGGAATGCTGGACAGATAACTGTGACGCCTTTGCAAGTTAGTTATTTAAACTTTGGCCAAGTTGGAACGACTGATTTGTTGTCTTGCAGCAGAGTTGTTAAAGTTCAGAAACTGAAAGAACAGTTTAAAAAAACAAAAAAACTTTTAACTTCAATTAAAGAAAATAAAAAAGAGTGCAGCTTTACCTGTGCGCAGCCTTAGCGCCCGAGAAGCCTCACGCCTGCTTGAGCATCCTTGAAAACTTCTCCACTTCTCCTCACTCCAAGAAAAACACTTTCACACTGTCACGCCTTCGCAGTCTGCTAGGACTCTGTCAGTCTTTTTCGATTTCTTGATCAACCAGATTTCCAGGGCGTTTTCTGCCCCCTCTCTCTCCCTCCCTCCGCCGCTCTGAGTTGATATTAACCTCTTTTTTTCTGAGTGGCTGCTCCTCTGAGCTGAGCAGAGTGGTTGGACAGGGAGCTGGGCTGGGCTCCTGGTTAGCAGAGGGAGGGGAATCCAGGGGAGGGGACCCGTGTACGGGGAGTGGTCCTTAGTGTTCATGGGACCACCCACTGCTTCACAAAGAGGGTTGCAATGACATGCAACAGGAAAAGTGAGCTCTGCTTAATAAAAAAAGAACTTTCAACACTTTAATGTCAGGCTTTCAAACTCTTGTTATCCGAATGTAATCAGCACTATGTAACAAATTATTCAGGCAAGAAACTTGTACTGTTTTTATCATGGTTTTTCTGTTTAAAACAGTTTTTTGCCCACTTCAGTTTTTGTTCTACAGTATAACAATGAAGTACACAGAGAAGAAGAGATGCACTCCACAAAATGGTTATCATGACAGACAATGACATCAACATGTTATTAAAACATTTACACTGCCGCACATAAACCGACACAAAGCTATCATTACCAAAATGGTTCGGGAGGACGGCCTTTAGTTAAACACAAAGGAAAGGTGTCTATTTACAAGACAGGATTTACAGAAGTCTGTCGCTTTAATGGGGCCCACCCTGTGCTAGTGAACTGCAGTAGCAATATAATTTATTTTAAATAATTTTTGCATCTAATTTGGACATTAAAATGTATTCCACATTTTCACTGTGCTTTACACAGGTTGTTGTTTTTTTTAGCTCACTTTCATACACTGAAAGCTGTAGTTGCAGTAGTCATTGTTGCAACTGTCTGTGTGCTGTATGTTGTGTGTGTCACATGAAAGCTTATTTTTAGAGTGAAACTGCTAATGTTAAGCTTAAAGTCCTAGCTTAATGTCAGAGTACTTCTTTTTCATCCCACTGTATTAAAAGTATTGCAAAGCCAAATATGAATTAAAACCAAAACATTCTAAATGATCATAGCTATGAAATGCTTCAATGTGGTATGGAGACACGCAAAGCGATGGCATGATAGCTTGTTACGAGAGTGACTGGGCGGTTCCTCTGACAGATCATACTGGGATTATGGGTATGGCTGTGTCACCAACAGGCTTATAGATGAGAACATCTGATAAGCCATGACTAACACTATGTTTTAAAAGAAGGTATTCCCATCCATTTTTGTTCCTGGTGTACACCAGCAGCTTTGTTAAATGAACCTAAGTACTCCCCTCAAGGACATGTTTTGAAAAGTGTTTATTTGGGCGTTCCTAACGCTACTAATGCAAGTGTGAAAGCTGTTACTACAGTGTTTAGCAGAGCAGAATTTATAACTTATGTGCTGGTTTCTTCAAGTCTGCATAGCTCACCACAAGCTAACCTTTACCATCACTTATCCATTATTTTTATTTTTATCTTATTGAATATAGTATTTTATTCTATTCTATTCTATTCTGTACAGTTGTGTACAGTTGTGTACAGTATCTTATTCTTATTGTATTCCAGTGTTCTCTAATTTTATATATAACTATATATAACTTTGCACTGTTCACTTTCTGCTAGACAAAACAAGACTTTATTAGTCCCACACGTAGGACTTTTAGCTATTACTCTTAGCTGCTTTTACCATCTAGCATAGCTGTATATAGCTATGGATATTTTGTGCCACATGCTTTTATCAAACAGTAATTTTGGAGGGTTGTGGATTTTTTGCCAGTCTTGGTAGCTGGGGACCTCCGTCAGGACCTCAACTCCTGGCCGCTGCACGGCTACGGTGCCTCCTGCGGGTGGTGGGCCTGCAGGAAGATGGGTCCATGTCCCTTTTTCGGGCTGTGCCCGGCCGGGCCCCATGGACTAAGGCCCGGCCACCAGACGCTTGCCCTCGGGTACCCTCCTCAGGCCTGGCTCCAGGGCAGGGAGGGTGAACTGTTCCCTCTGAATCGCTCTTTGTCTGGTCCCTCACCCAGGACCAATTTGCCATGGGAGACCCTACCACGGGGCAAAAGCCCCCAGACAACATAACCCCTGGGATCCCTGTGACACACAAACCCCTCCACCACAATAATGTAGCAATTCACGGAGGAGAGGAGGCAGGGAGGAGGCCCCGGGGCAGACCCAGGACACGTTGGAGAGATTATATCTCTCGGCTGGACTGGGAACACCTTGCTGTTTCCACGGACAAGCTGGAGGAGGTGGCTGGGGAGAGGGAGGTCTGGGCTTCTCTGCTTGGGCTGCTGCCCCCGCGACCCCGCCCCAGATAAGCGGAAGAAAATGGATGGATGGATGGATGGGATTTTTTGTTTGGGTTTTTTAGGGGGAGTATATGTGTGCATCCAGTTTTGAAAATAGAATTCATATGTGCGTTGTGGATGCACATGTGTGTTTTAAGTGTACACATGTGCGTCTCCGCTTCTCACAACAGTATCTAGTGTCTTTGAAATTCCTGCAGTGTCCTTCTCAATATGCCACACCCATACTCAGCGAGATGAAGTAGCAGGCAACATGCAAGGAATAGATTACATACAGAGGAAGTTACTGTGTTGTTTTTGTGGGGAGTGAACCGGGGAGTGGTACTCACATGCTTGTGCTTGTGTGCACACACACGCATATTTTAACGTTACTACACTAGAAACTTTGAGTCAGGAGATCTCAGATTTTGTTTTGTTGCGAAAACAGGGTGCAGCTCTCCCACAAAAAAGAAGGCCCGCTGTTTGTGCGCAGACGTGTGTAGATGTCTGGAATTGTGCGCACACTGAGATAAAAGTGGAGAAATAACACCAAACATGTGCAAGACATGCAGAGATCCTAAAGAACTGTGTATAAAGTGGGGTACAGCTTTACTCTTTGGGATTGAACAGTGTTTAAAAATGTTCAGGGGAAGTTTCAAAAAAAAATTTTTTTTTCAAAAGTTTCAAAAAGAAAAATGTTACTTTAGTGCTTAAAGTATATTGTGTGAATGAGTGCACAACTACTAAAGCAATCATCTAGTGCTTATAGTATTTTCCACAGAATTTAACGTTTTAACTTTAACAGAATAAGATTTCACCCACTTTCGAAGTACAGCGCCTATTTGATTCCCTTTCTTGCCAACGGGGTGTGGCCTTTAAGGAACAGTCTTAACTACCAGAAATGCTGATTCCAGACAGACAACTCCTATTATGTGTCTGCTAGCAATCAGCATTACTCCTGTCAAAAACGATGCACTGCTCACAAACTTTTCAGCAGGAGTTAAAGGTTTACAGTTATTTAATAACTCATCAGTAAATCATATCATTGGTTATTTTTTTAGATACTCATGACCTTAATCTATAATACAGGTGTTCACATATAAATTTCTTATAACCATATCTGCTTTTATTCTAAATGAACTCACAGCAGCAGGTCAGAGGGAGACAAAGATAAGCAGAGCAGTCAGTTAGCTTTGGGACAACTCAAATGTGGACTGTTCAAACTGGATAATTGTGAAATGTGCTAAATATCTTCCATGCACTTGCAAAGTCAATGTCCTCTGTGTATCACTGTTTTGTTGCAGGTCACTCACTTGAATACAAGGATATGTGGGAATGGGTGTGTTTCCTGACTCTAGGTGTGTCAGCCAGTGTGAACCAGCGCAAATAGCTTGGCTCAGACGCACGATGAGTCACAGCCCATGACTACAATGAAAACATGGGCAGCTCAGACTGCAGAGAGGAGTAAAATCAGAGGATTAGATTGGGATGGACGGTTGAATAAATGTGTGTGTGCTTGTGTGTGTCTGCGTGTGATCGTTTGTGTGCGTGTTATGAATAATTTCTCCCGCAGGATAAGGGAAGTCACATGCCAATGGCCTAACTGTAACTTGTGATATGACTGAATAAAAGTAACATAACAACCAGACAAAATAACTTTGAATCTATCAAATTTCTTTCAGCAGCTGTTTGGACCTGCCTATTGGTAAGATGGGTGTGAGTAGAACACCTCATTGTGCAACACAGGCTTAATCATACACAATGGACTGATCTCAATCAATGATTTCCAACCACATATCAGGTTTTTAAACTGAATGGATGGTATAATGGCTTTGAAAGCTGCAAATAAAATGTAGTATATGATGGAAAAAGAGAAAAATTTTATAGTATATCTGTAAAAAAGAAATCACAAATATCGAAGGAAACTATGATCTTAGATTCAGACCATGCCAGCAGTGTACTGTAAGTATCTTGTTTGTAGGTATTGAGATGATTTTCAAGATATGATAAATATCTATTCCAGAGCACATTTAAGAATATAACTCAATGTTTGATGCTTTTTATTTCTAGAAACGTTGTAAAAATGCTTCTGTTATGATTTTTTCAAACGTCTGTTAAATAAGTGAACGAAGATGGATGGATTATTCAGTGTAATGACTAACTATCCCTGGCAGTAATCCCAGAAAAAATGAGAAAAAAAGAAATTCAACGCATCTATTTGATGACAAGGTTACTTTCTGTAGTTTTGCTTGCTTGTAAAGTTTGCTCTAAAAGTATTTTAAAAGCCTGGTTTGCATTCAGAGAGCTTATCAAAAGCAGGCGGTCAGTACGCAGAAAGTGAGCAAATAGAAGTTCTTTGTAGCTTCATTAGATTTTTTTTACACAATGCAACATTGTCGATATTGTGTCGAGTGTTTTTCCAGCCAGTGCTGAAGACAGAGTGAGATAAACATTGTCAAAGAGGCATTGTCAGTAGTGGAGAATGTCAAAAGAAATTCACCACAAATTCCACTTGTGTTTTTGGTGAATGAATGCACTATTGTAGAAGATGAGTTCAAATTAACTGCAAAAATAATCAGAACAAACACTGACCTGTCTTATGTTCCTACAGCTGCTGCCAGTTTCTTTTTATTTACTTATTTAGGATGTTTTATCTTTTTCTATGGTTTGATTCTGAAAGCAAATCAAATTGAAGTAAAAACTTCTTTAAGGAAAACACCCACTAAATCTAAAAGAATTGTATACCATTGCACTGCTAAAGAATAAACGTTTTTTAAAAGTTATTAATATAGGCACCCTCTGCAATTATACTGTGCGCAAAAAATAATTAAG